AGCTAAGGTCACCGACTTTAAGGTCTTTCCAAGAGCCAGTAGGAGTGCAGTGGATCGCAATCCGCTGTCTCCAAGAGTACTGAAAAACTTAATAAGGTAATGGGACTCGTCTGCTCAAAGTTAAAACCGTATATCATTGTTTTAGTTGCGGCAGAGCCGCCAATATCTACAGCCCTAGGTTTTCTTAAATAATATAGTAATACCTATTTCAATTAGCAAAGCCTAATTATTTCATATGCATTACTACTGGCAATCCTACCACGCGGTGGCTTCTTGTTACGGTGCAGCCACACCACTGTGTAACTCCATCAACTTGTGTAATCCACACCTATGCACGATCACACCACCCGCCCTTTCATACAGGGGTACGAATAACCCTGTTACACTCTCTCGCATTAAAAGTTGTGATCATCCTCATTTCACATTTTATCATCGCCTCACACGAGGCTCGCGTGTCTGAGATACCTTCACGTAAGAACAACATCATTCTCCGCTCTATGAGTCCTGATCCTACGACACGCAAAACACCCAGTCTAGCTGGTTCCGAGGGCGCCCGCGAACAAAGCCCTTCTTCTTCTGCACAGGATGCATCTCCGGACAGTACGTCCGCGGCTTTAAGAGAAACACATCACAAGCCCTCGGCAACTGAACGCAACACACCGCGCCCGACACGGGCGACGGATTTCCTCGTCGAAGAGTTCGAGGAATTCGACCACGAGTCGGATACTCCTTTACCAACATGGGAGGCGAGGAAGATGAAGTGCGCCAACGGCGCGACGCAAGCCCAGCTCAAACCTTGTGGACACCATGTCCGTTCCCCGACCTCTAGGCTTCCGGGGGGAAGTGGTGTTATTATCAATCGCCTCGACGAGGCACAGGAGCAGCGATTAAAGGCTGCTCACAGGGCGGCTCTCCTGCGCTCGTAACTTCGTTCGGTCTTGGACCTCGTATGGAATACGGCTTCCTCTCGGCGGATCCCGCTACTGAAGCAATAGACGCGATCACTCGATCGTTAGGCATCTACGTAGTCGGGCCTCCGGCCACTACACAAGCTGAGCTCGATCAGCGGAAAGCTCCCCGAGCTCGCTTTTTGGCACCACAAGAGGTCCCAATGGATTGGTACCGCGATCGACTTCGAGATCAAAGGGAGGCGCTCCTGCACCCACACTGTGGACCATCCCTGTGGTGCTCGCCCCTGGCGAAACTGCTGCAGATGATGAAGAGATCTTTGAGCGATGGCTGCTGCGGCACTAGAAAATTTCCTTGGTGTTTAACTTACAGTGGTGTCAAAAAGAAGCGGAAGTGCGCGTAAGAACCATCTTTGATTTGAGTTTGCCAGATTCAAGGCGCAACGCCGACTTTATAAGTATTGTCGCCCTGCGACACATGGAATAATCCATGACACTCCTGCGAGCTGTGTGGTTTCTCACGCGGGTGCGTCTACATCCACAGCAGATCAGGACCAAAGCTTGAGATCAGCTCATGGCCCTTCGGCTTCTCAATAAACATTAGCGTCCACGACGTCTGAACAGTCTTGCAGAAATGGCACCTCAAT